TTCTTCTTCTTCTTCTTCTTCTTCTTCTTCTTCTTCTTCTTCTTCTTCTTCTTCTTCTTCTTCTTCTTCTTCTTCTTCTTCTTCTTCTTCTTCTCATAAGAACATAAGAGACGCCAGTGTTGGATCAGGCCAAAGGCCCATCCAGTCCAACACTCTGTGTCACACAGTGGCCAGAAATACCAGGTGCCATCAGGAGGTCCACCAGTGGATCTCCTTCTCCTTCTTCTTGTAGGCAGATTTTGAAAGGGAAAATGAGAAAAGTGTCCTTTTTGTCTTCAGTCCATGCCACTGTAAGATCTCTCTCATTTCCACCATTATCTCTGCGAGACACCGATCACCAATGCTCCCTCTAAGCTCTGGAGTCTTGTGAGCAAAAATTCTATTGTGTGAGCTACTGGCCTTAAAACTGTGAATGAGCGATTTGGCCGCTGCACAAATCAGTTTGCTCTTGAGCCATCCTTCCTGAGCGAAGACAAAAATGTGTGAGCCGGAGGCTAAAAAATTGTGAAGTAGCTCACACTCAGTTTAGAGGGAACACTGCCGATAACTATTCAATCTAGGCTGGCTGATGTGTATTGGAACGAGGGGTCTAATGCATCTTGATTAATTCACCAAAAATGTACTAACCGGCAGACATTCCTAACAGGACGAGCTTTCTGGATGGATGGGATACAAAAAACAGGTTCTCAAATGCAATGCCTTGGATTCTGGAAACAGGTGCTCTTTAATCTCCAGTTCATATGGACCCTGGACGGCTCTTAGACTCTTGAACACCAATCTGGCAATTCCAATAAATCAGGAGAGGATCATGATAAAACTCTCGGGGAGGCGGCTGTGCCGTGTCTGGATCCACTTGACACCATAAATGCTCCAACATGTATCCTAAATTGGCTATTAACTCTAATGAGCATATTTTGTGTGTTTGTGTGTGAATAATTGCCCGACAGGTTGGCGGTGGTCCAAGGGAACAGGAGTGAGGGCAAAAGAGACAAGACCCGCTCGGGTTTCTTAAAATGCTTTTTGTCAGTGTTACGATCGGGAAGGTACACCTTCTTCCTTTTAATCAGTAGATGACTCGGTGGGCACTACCAGGGGTCATTTCCTGCAGGAGGGCACAGGAGCGGAGCGCCGGCAGTAAAGAGCCCAGGGGGCGGGCACATGCAACAAGCACCACCCCCTGCTCCCAGCAGCCCTCAGTCAGAGCAAGAAGCAGCCAGGTAAGTTGCAGAGCTCCCCCTGGCCCCCCGGTCCAAAGCAGTCCAGTGGCACCTTTAAGACCAAGTTTTATTCAGGTACAAGCTCTCCCTCCTCTACGGGGACAGATCTGCACATCCCCCACCCCCAATAGCTAGCAATCCAAAACAGTCCAGCGGAGCCTGAGCGGTGGGTATTGCCTTCTAACACACGTCCAGTGATGTCAGGGGGTGTGGCATATGCAAATAAGTTATGCTAATGAGCTCCTGCACCTCTTTTTCTACAAAATGACCCCTGACAAAATCAACCTGGGGAGTTAGCTGCTGTCTAGGAAAGCTTGAACGAGAATAAAAACGGGTTAGTCCCCCAAGAGCCCCAATATTCCTTTGATTTTTCGCTGCCCCGGACTAACACGGTTACTCCTCTGCAATGATTGCTGTGTAGGGTTGGACACTCTGGGAAGACTGAATCCTCCCTGCTTTCTCACCACTCCCCCCGTCGCAGCGTTCAGTGGAAACGTTTGCAAATCCTTTGCCCACGGACAAGCTGGAGCAGTGGGCTGAGACAAATAAAACGAATTTCAATAGAGGTAAGTGCAAAGTCCTACTCTTAGGTACAAAAGGTCAAAGGCACAGATATAGAATGGGAGGGACTTGGCTTGACAGCAGCACATGTGAAAGGGACCTGTGTGTTCTGGTTGATCACAAGCGAAACATGAGCCTGCAGTGCGATGTGGCTGCGAAGAAAGCGAATGCAATCTTAGGATGCATTCACAGAAGCCTTGTGTCCAGATCACAGGAGGTGGTAGTTCCGCTCTGTTCTGCTATGGTCAGGCCTCACCTGGAGTCCTGTGTCCAGTTTTGGGCACCACATTTTAGGAAGGATGTTGAGAAGCTGGAGCGTGTCCAGAAGAGGGCAACCAGGATGGTGAGAGGGTTGGAGTCCAAGTCTTACGAGGAAAGGCTGAAAGAGTTGGGTCTGTTTAGCCTGGGAAAGAGAAGGCTTAGAGGAGACATAATTGCAGTCTTCGAATATCTGAAGGGCTGTCATGTAGAAGATGGAGCAGATCTATTCTCTCTCGCTCCAGATTGCAAGACTAGATCTAACGGGTGGGAATTACAAGGGAGTCGATACCGGCTAAATATCAGGAGAAACTTCCTAACCGTGAGAGTGGTTGAGCAGTGGAACAGACTGCCTCGGGAGGTGGTGGATGCTCCTTCGCTGGATGTTTTCAAGCGAAGACTGGATGACCATCTTTTGGGTATGTTGTAGGTATGTAGGGCTGTCTTTCGGCTATGCTCCTGCAGAGTGCAGGGGGTTGGACTAGATGACCTGCAAGGTCCCTTCCCACTCTAACATTCTATGATTCTATGAAAGATAAAATAACAAGACCCCATCCCCCCCCCTCAAAAGATGCCTGCTGTTTATACCCTTTCAAGAGGCCAGGCACAGGCCTTGCAGCGTCTTCTAAAGATCTCCCGGGGGGGGGTCACCTCTTTAGGGAGCCCCTTCCACAGAACTGGAGCCATGAGGGAAAAGGCCTCGGCCCTGATTGGTGGCAAATGGGCCACCCTATGTGTTGGGGCAGCCAACAGATTGCTGCCTGATGAT